TGTAACAGTCCTTTTCTAAGATGTAGAGTTCATGGAAACAAAATGTTTCATTCACAGGAAGCTACTGTCCTCAGAGATGGGGAGAAACATAACATAACCGCAGAAAAGCTTGTTGTGGGGGATGTTATATTTGTGAAGTTTGGAGACAGGGTACCAGCAGATATCCGTGTGACTGAAGCACGAGGTTTTAAGGTACATTCTTTTTGTGTATGTAGTTTTCATAACTTGGTTGCATACAGCTGTTTGCGGAAAGGCTGTGCACGCGACAACCACGAAAGGCATTGTGGGTAGTTTTTAGGTCACGGTTCCTTGACATCAGGATCTCAAGGAAATCTGAGAAAGCATCACTGTTAAGAAGAGGTATAGTGGGTTTGATGAATTTAATTTGTTCTTAAGATTGACTTTTAATTTTAAATAGGAATGACTGATCTTAATGAACGACGAAAACGATGTATACTTAACGTTGAGTAACCTTTCGAGGTTTTCACGTGCACCATGTCTTTTTTGTGACAAGCCCTCTTCAAACAGCTGTATGTAACCCTTTTCATCCTTTACCATCACTTACTAGAGTAGTGTTAAACCTTGACACCCTAACATCATTATGCATATTCTGTATACTGCGCTCTAAACATCTCCTACAATGCTGACAAGGATAACTTGTCAAATAATCATGAGCTGTTTTAGTGGGTGATCGGTTCCTTTATTCTCCTGACCTTTCTGTTTGATTCAGGGATGATATGGTAAGGAGAAATTAGACGCCAGTCACTCTTAGGGGTTATAGGGTTAATTATAATCATTGTAATCATCGTTATTGTTATCCATTGTTGTGACCAGTATCACTGTTGTCATTGTCATCGTTATCAGGGTCGGATTGTTCGGAAAGGTGTTAACGTTTATCTAGGTTTAAAAGTTAACCTTGGATTTAATTTATCATGTAGATGAGCGTGTGCAAGAGCTAAGGACGAGTTTCATCTCAGTATGACTCAAAACTAACAGAGGAAAAATGCAAACGAAAAAAATCCCTCTGCAGAGCTATAAAATTAAATTAAAAGTTCCACACTAACTCCGGGCTAGTTAAAACGTGTTTTAAAGAACCTGGCCCAGAACCATATTTATTAGTCTATCGGACAGATTCCATGTTGCAGTGCGCTTGTTCAGTAAAAGATCACAGATGACGTCATAATGTGGTGAGAACAAAAAAAGCAGCACACAAGAGGCAGCCGAGTGTGTCACAAATGTTCTCGCTACATTTTGACTTCTTCTCTGAGTTATTACTAAACAGACCCACGGTGACATAGAATGTATCTGTTTTATAGTAAAGAAGCAGAGATTTTTGTTGGTGATGTCATATATGCATCTGCCCTCCAAAATATCATAAGTATGATGAAAGAACCAATCAAAACTTTTAAATAATTCAGGTCATAACATAAATTGTAATATTTACGATCATTTTTCCTTTTTGTACCTCTAGGTTGACAACTCATCTCTCACTGGTGAATCAGAGCCCCAAGCGCGCACCCCAGAATTCACCCATGACAATCCCTTGGAGACAAAGAACTTGGCATTTTTCTCGACAAATGCTGTTGAAGGAACCTGTACTGGTATTGTTGTTCAAACAGGCGACAACACTGTCATGGGACGCATCGCTAACTTAGCCAGTGGATTAGGGTCAGGGAAAACACCCATTGCTGTGGAGATTGAACATTTCATTCACATTATCACAGGAGTTGCTGTAACCCTTGGAGTGACGTTCTTTATTCTTTCACTGATCCTTGGATACCACTGGCTCACTGCCTGCATCTTTTTAATTGGTATCATCGTTGCCAACGTGCCTGAAGGTCTACTTGCAACTGTAACAGTTAGTAATTTTCTATGAATATTTTCCTTGTTTACAGTATAAATGACCTTTTTTCAAAGCAGCATTCATTTTAAAACTCAACTTAACTTTATAATCAATAACACATTTTCTGGCGTGTTATGCATCTAATTATGCTTAGACCTGTGGCATGCGTGCATAGTATTTTTAACTTCTTCCAACAAGTTATCTGAAAGAATGCAAGGTTCTAGTCTTAGTTAGTCTGCTTTTATTGGAATTCATCACGGAAGAAGGAAAACTTAGAGGGTTTGATTGTAGGGGACCCGCGCTTGGCAATGGCAATTCGGATAATTTGGTGTTATTACCTAAATTGATAATGGCAATTTGCCACTGTAGAGAGTTTCCAAAGCTGGCGTTTGAAACTGAGACAAGCTAGCACTCAAATTGTCAGTTCTAAAAGCTCTCTATTATGGCAATTTAACTTGTCCCCCACCAATGCAGCATCACAGTTTTGTTACCCCCTTCATTCACGATAAATTGGAGTTAATTTGCAGTTTTCAATCCCAAGGAATTATTGTTTTTTTAAGTATGGGGTTCTCTTCCCTGAACTGGATAAAAAAATCAAGATCTTGGTTAGGTTTCTGCACTATTGAAGGCATATGACTGTGTGAAAGATTCGTAATAGGCTTACATTCTGATTCATCACTCAAGGTTTGTCTGACTCTCGCTGCTTAATGAATGGCAACCAAAAATTGCTTAAAAAATCAAGATGTTGATAAATTTTCTATGCTGTTGAATGCGTACGACTGTGTGAAACATTCGTAATTGGCTTACACATTCTGATTTATCACTCAAGGTTTGTCTGACTTTCACTGCTAAACGAACGGCAGCCAAAAACGGCTTAAAACATCAAAATGTTTATTAATTTTCTATGCTGTTGAATGCATGACTATTTAAAACATTCGTAATTAGCTTACACACCCTGATTTATTACTTAAGGTTTGTCTGACTCTCACTGCTAAACGAATGGCAGCCAAAAACTGCTTGGTGAAGAACTTAGAGTCAGTTGAGACTTTGGGAAGTACATCCACCATTTGCTCAGACAAGACAGGAACTTTGACTCAGAACAGAATGACTGTGGGTAAGTGTTGTACGAATTGTACATGTATGTAAAAACTTCTTAACTGCACAAGAAATTCACTCGTTACTGCATAGAAGACAAAAGTTAGAGTCCGTGCCTGTAGCTTATTAGGATGGTCTGAAAGCTTCATCTGCCTGAACTCAATTTCTGTAACCCCTATGAAGAATTTTTCAACATTGCTCGTATGACATGCATTTAGACATCGATATCTTGCTTTACGGTAGCTTTCACAACCCTCAGCTGCCTAAAAGCTCCTTAGACGGAGCTCTGCAGCTAAGGGATGATTGAATTGATGACTGAGAAACATAACTCTCCTTTTCTATAACATACTTACTCTGAATTTCAATGCTTCACTTTCAATTGCAATTTACATGTATGCTGTTGTCAGTCCTTATCATGAAATTATTTTTAAAGGAAACCAAACAAAATGGAGCGACGTCTTTTATTTCAAACAGAGGAATGTGATCTTTGAACACACTTAAATATCGATAATGTACTAGTTTTCTGGGAGATCTGTCCATGTACTAGATATACAAAGACATCGCTTTTTTATTTTCTCTCTTTTTTATTCTGTAGCTCACATGTGGTTTGACGACAAAATCTTTGAAGCTGATACAACAGAAGATCAGTCGGGAACTCCAATGGAAAAGGTACACTTCTGAAAAATCCAAGCTCTCGTTGGGATAGTGCCAGTTTTTCTTCTATAGTTGTTGTTGTTGTTATTGTTATTATTATTTTACTTATTATTATTATTATTATTATTATTATTATCATTCACTGTCATTAATGTGATCATAGACTCCTGTTATTCATTATGTTATTATAGACTTTTAATGCTAATTATTTTATCATGGACCATTAAGATTGTTATGTGAAAATAGCTTTTATGTATACTAACTACTAGTATACAGTAAAATCTTGAATAAGTGTCACACCTTAATCAAGTTCCATTCGGAATGGTACCCTGGTACCAGCGAAAATTAACGGAAAAAAAATTGATAGATAAAAGAGCACTCCTCTCTCCCAGGGATTTCAGTAAGAGCCGATTATAGGCAGTCTGCCATCTGCTCTCGTGTTCCCATTTTATTTTGAATGTAACAAAAGTAACAATTTTACCTTCTGTTCTGACAGACAGAAACCTGGACTGCACTCGCTAGAGTGGCGGGTTTATGTAATCGTGCAGAGTTTAAGACAGGACAAGACGGTGTACCCGTACTCAAAAGGTAAGAAGCTTCGGGCCCCTAATTTTTAAGTTATGCTAATATATCTTCATCACCATCTTAGTTGGCGTTTGAAAAGATTGGATTTATAACAGAAACCGCCATATAGCGCTTGGCTTGTCTGTCCTTGGCGTTCTTTTAGTAAAACGTGGCGACATAGCAAACGGCAAAAAGAGCACCTGGCATAGACCAGTGCATAGTATTTTCTTGGTGAAAATCATAGCTGCCATATTTGATTTTTACAGCAGCGGAAGGCTAGGGCGAAAAAGATGCTTGTATCAACGGGCGAGCGACGTTCAAAAAGGAAGGGCTGGGGTGGGACAGTGGAAATTTGTCGCCCCCTCCTTCACCGTCCTCTCTAACTCTAAATCAAACATCGCCGGCCGGATAAACGATCGCGAGCTTGTAACGTTAACTCGTTCTAATTAGACACCTGCATTACAGGCTATAGAGCGCATGATTTCGAACAAACCCAAGATGCATTTGCTGCAAAACTTACCTGAAGGGAGGCCCGAGGAAAAATTACAGGGGGGGGAGGGAGGTGGGAAAGAGAGTAACCTTGCCCTGTGTACAAAACCCTTCTTGAAAAACAATTGCCATAAAGGGAAGAAATTTACAAACATAATTACAACTTGGAAGTAAACAATATATATTTAATTTTTCAACAGAGAGACCAATGGAGATGCCTCAGAATCTGCTCTACTAAAATGCATCGAACTACAAGTAGGAAATGTGGCTAAAATGCGCGAGAATAACAAAAAGATGGCAGAAATTCCCTTTAACTCCACCAACAAATACCAGGTGTCTATTCACGAACAGGAAGGTGATGAAGATCCTCGTTACCTTCTGGTCATGAAGGGTGCACCAGAGAGAATTTTAGATCGCTGCTCCACAATTCTCATCAACGGCAAAGAAGAGCCCCTTGATGAAGCGAAGAAAGAAGCCTTTGAGAAGGCGTACTTGGAATTGGGTGGAATGGGAGAGCGTGTGTTGGGCTTTTGCCATTTTTACCTGGATGCTGAAAAATTTCCACCCGGATTTGAGTTTGTAGCTGATGAGGTGAGTTCAGGTTACAATAGGACTATCTTTTTTATACCTTTTTTTTTTCTTTTTCACCAGAACGCCATTTTACCTTAATGGGAAAACGGAACGTATTTTCGTAATTTTCCTCTCCCCATACGCAAATCGTCAAATATCCGCCCGTATTA